ATCTCCGAGATCTCCGGGGGTTACGCAGATAGATATTGTACATGATGGGTGTGATGGACTTGACGCGTAGGCTCTGCTTGCCTGCTCATGCTTGTCACTCGTTAATAGTTAATCAAGGAACTTGAGTCAAACCTTTGTGCAACACGCTCTCGACAAGAGCCCGCGAGCGTGATAACATAGTACACGCGCCGACACCCCAAACACNTTTTTGCCCGCGCGCGCCAAGGAGATCCAGGGAACAGGGTTTGGAATACGAGGGCAGCAGCAGCAGGGCGGTTTTTGCCCGCGCGTGCCAAGGAGATCCAGGGTAAGCTTTTGGAATACAAGGACAGCAGCAGCAGGGCGGTTTTTGCCGGCGCGCGTCAAGGAAATCCAGTTATTAGAACAAGAAGCAATTTTTGTTTAGACATGGAAGGCGAGGAGAAAAACAAGAAGAAGTAGGAGGAGTTGGAGCTGGGTCTGGCTGAGGCGAAGGCGGAGATAGCAAAGCTGAAACAGGCCCACAAAGAGGTGGAGGAAGAATGGAAGAAAGAAGCGGCTATGCATAGGGCCACTGCTGCAGATGCGGCGCGTGCAGCTGCAGACGCGGCGCGTACAGGGCCCTCTGGTGGAGGATCAGGACCCGGGTATCAAACGGTGAGCATGGCAGACGGCGGTAGCCAGTTGATGAGCGGTCGTTTTGGCACTCGAAACCCGCCGAAGCACCCGAACGAACCGGGGAAGTTTATGAGCTGGTCACGGAGGATGCGGACTTTCCTCGCTGTAGNGAACCACATTCATGGAGCGCCGCTGGTGACAGCACACTTGCGGGCGTGGGGGTACCTTGTGGAATCAACTAGCGGTTCGGACATCGAAGAAACGTTGTTTGCGTGTAGCTGCGTGCCGGAGGCGTTGACCGCTATCCGTGAATGGTCTTTGCCCACTACTGATGCTGAGCAGAGACTGCTTGAGCGACAGTTGGAGACTGTTGAGATGTCCCCTGGCGAAAACCCGAAGCTTTTCTTCGCCAGAGTCGACGGTATCGTCAACACCATGCGAGCTGTCGGCATTGAAAAATCCGAACGGCAAATTGTGCAAACAATTGTCCGCCAGCTTTCGTCTGATTACGATGTCGAACGCAAGACCACCCTATCCGATTCCGACATCTCTCGTGCGGGAGTTGAAAGCATTGTTCGCAAGGCGTATGCTAACATTGTTGCCAAGCAGCTGGAGAAGGTGAAAGTGTCTCCGTCGACGTCGGTGCAGCCGGGCCACGATCCTCACCCGCTTGCTGTTAGTGGGTTTCGGTCCGGCGGCAGCGGCGGCGGTAGCAGCGGCAACGGCGGTAGCGGTGGCGGCGGCAACGGCGGTAACGGCGGTAGCGGCGGCGGCGGCAGCGGCGGCAGTGGCCACGGCGGCGGTTCTCGGAGAGGCGGTAGTTTTTAAGTGGTGGGCGCGGACAGCAGCACAGTACCGGGCGGTGGACAGCGAGCCAGCAGCAACAACACTTCGGCGCACAACCGATCCACCAGGCACATCAGCAGTATCAACAGCAGCTGCCACAGTCGCGACAGCCGCTGGGACAACATGCCAGACCGCAACCCCCGCCCCCACATCATCCGCCTCCGAACTACCCGACATGGGGGCCTGGGGGTCTCTTCGATTGTGGACGCAACGCCGTGTACCGGCAGGAGGAATCGGCTCCGCCAGCAGGTGCTCCGATGGGCGCTGTTCCCCGCTGTGAGAGGTGCGGGCGAAGCGGTCATACCTTGAGCATGTGCAATGCCCCGCGGCGATTTGAGGGTACCTGCTCCGCGTGTGGTGAGTACGGTCATGTGCGTCGGGTGTGTTCAACGGTCGTCGGTCCCCCTCGCATGCCACCACACGTCAACGTCGTTACTGCCGGGCAGACTCCCAGCGTCGGTGGTAAGTCGGTAGTGTACCATCAGCAAGACGGTGGTGGTGGTGTAGTAGGAGACGGGAGTGGTGTGACGTGGGGACCGCCGGACGATGGTTCGATGTACGGGACCTTCACCGGTGCCGTTACACACAACGGTGCGCAATATGCTTCACACCCTACACCTCCTCAGTCTCAGCCGCCGCAGTGGTCGCCTCATCAGCAGCTGGAGCAGCAGCAGCCGCAGCCGCAGCAGCAGCAGCAGTATGGTGTCAGGACCGGATGGAGCACTGGTGGAGTACAGCCGTTTGTTGGAGTGCAGCATGAGAGCGGCGGCGAGTTTGAGGGCGGTGGTGAAGGTACCGGGGGGGGGGCAGACGGTGGCTTGCTCCATTGTACCTTTGGAGGCTCGGGGCCAACTGGTGATGCACCGTATCATCTTGGGGGGCACTTCTTTGCTCTGCAGTTTGCCCTGAGTGCTCTTTCTACCCGCGACATGCTGTCTTCGATTTTTCCGCGTCGCCGTCCTGGGTCGACTGTGTGGATTGGTGATAGCGCGTCTACTGTGCACGCGACCAGCGACGGCACTCACGTCTACAACACTCGCCCTCCCCTCGCCGAGGAGACTTTCCTGTTCATCGGTGACGGTCGCAAGTTGAAGGCGGAATGTTTTGGGTCGCTTGATGTGGTGTTCCACTGCAGGGAGGATGTGCTGGTGACGATGAAGGATATAGCGGTCGTGCCCGATCTTGCGTTTGACCTCGTCTCCCTCAACGTCATTCAGGAGACCCACGACCTCCTCTTGAATAGCGCTGGCACTTGGATTCTCAACGGTCGCGTGCATTTTTCGAAGCTCCCCACCGGCAACTACATTCAGGCTACTCGGATCGCACATGGCGCCTCCCCACCTGCGATGGTGGCGGCGACCGTGCGGCCTGGGCGGCCCAGGAGCATCAACATCAACGATCTGCATGTTTCTCTTGGCCACACCAACGACGCGAATGCACGGGAGACCGCGAAGCAGCTGGGGATTCAGGTGACCGGTACCCGGGGATACTGCGCTGGCTGCGGTGAGGCGAAGGCGATTCGACGCAGTGTTCCGAAGGAGACGAAAGCAAAGGCGGGGAGGCCGTTTGGGCGTCTCTTCATCGATCTGACGGGCCCATATCCGCCGTCCACCGGTGGCGCTCGGTACTGCATGATGGTGGTGGACGACTACTCCAACGTCGGATGGACGCTGTTTCTGGCGGACAAGGGCGGTTCCACTCTGTGTGACGCTTTTCGCGCGTGGTACGTTGACACCAAGCAATT